GGCCGACGCCCTGCAGCCTCGCGGGGCGGGACGGGCGGGGCGCCACGGCCGGACGCGGGGCGCGCGGGGACTGGGCCCAGTGGACCCGGAGCGGCCGCCCAGAGCCTGCCCGCCAGCCGCGCTAGGCGAGTGCGCGGCGCAGGGCGGGAGCTCGGGCGCTGCTCCCCGCGCCCGCCGGCCTGTTCTAGGTCTGGAATCCCGCGCTCCCCTGGCGTGAGAGGCGCGCTTGGTCTCCGTCTGCGGGCGAACCGGCAGGCCTGAAGAACAGAGGACACGGACCCCGCTGCGAGGGAGCCCGGGGGGCCACGCCGGAGCCGCAGGCAAAGCGCGCTCGCCGCAGCCGTCCCCCGCAGCGCGGGGCCGCGAGGACACAGACGCGGTTACCGGCAGGGGCTTCCCGCTCTCGGGGGGACTGCCGCTCCGCAGCGGATTGCCCTCCCAGCTCTCGTCGGCCCTGCCCCGCACGGCCGCAGGGAGTTGAGGCCCGGGAGCCAGGGGCCCTGAAGGGCCGCGCGACACCTGACGTGGCGGACAGACTGGCTGCGGGGTGAGTCCCCGCGGGGCAGAAGGACAGGTTGCGGGGTGAGTGTCCCCGCGGGGCAGGCGGACGGGCTTCAGGGTGACCGTCCCCGCAGGTCAGGTGGACGGGCTGCGGGGTGAGTCCCCGCGGGGCAGGAGGACGGGCTGCGGGGTGAGCGTCCCCGAGGGGCAGGCGGACGGGCTGCGGGGTGAGCATCCCTGCGGGGCAGGAGGACGGGCTGCGGGGTGAGTCCCCGCGGGGCAGGAGGACGGGCTGCGGGGTGAGTCCCCGCGGGTCAGGCGGACGGGCTGCGGGGTGAGCGTCCCCGAGGGGCAGGCGGAAGGGCTGCGGGGTGAGCATCCCTGCGGGGCAGGAGGACGGGCTGCGGGGTGAGCGTCCCCTTGGGCAGGTGGACTGGCTGCGGGGTGAGCATCCCTGCGGGGCAGGAGGACGGGCTGCGGGGTGAGTCCCCGCGGGGCAGGAGGATAGGCTGCGGGGTGAGTCCCCGCGGAGCAGGAGGACGGGCTGCGGGGTGAGTCCCTGCGGGGCAGGAGGACGGGCTGCGGGGTGGGCGTCCCCGCGGGGCAGGAGGAGGGGCTGCGGGGTGGGCGTCCCCGCGGGGCAGGAGGCCGTCTGGGGGGTGAGCGTCCCTGCAGGGCAGGAGGACGGGCTTCGGGGTGAGTCCCC